TCGTGCTGGCTTTGTTGTTCCTTCGAAGGTTACGCTTCTTCAACAACTGCAAGATCCGAACAATAGGACTTGCAAGACCAACTTGTAAGAAAGTTGACCTACCCCCTTTCAATCAATAAGTTTGATCAAAAGTTGTATCCTTCAACGTGGTGTGGTACTTGAGGCAAGAAAACCTTCATGTATTTACACTATAGCTCTTTGGAAGGAGGAGAAGTTTGCTTCTGGATAAGGAGTTTAGAAATCTCTCTCTATCAAGCTTTTTGGGCTAACTATGAGTGAGGTAGCCTCTTTGTGGTTGTTTTTCTTATTGTTGTCGTTGTTCTCTCCTTCCCAGTCTTCCAAGGATGATATCTATAGCTGGATTGGATAATCTATCCGTTGAATTAAAATAGACTATCCGTTGCATTTGCTGGCTTCAATTTTGAATGAAGATTGTGATTTTAAGATTTCTCATTGGAGTGGGTGTTTGGACATACCCAATTGTTAAAGGAGGGATTCCTTTTTCCATAGAATCCGTCTTCTAGTTGTTGTTCAAGAATTCTGAACTGTAGCACTTTACTCTGTTTGTCTTCTAGTGCTTGTTTAGGAATTCTTGACAGGTTCTTCAATTTTTAGAGGTCCAGACTTTGTCTTCGAGTCATTTGTTCTTGAATCAGCATAATTACCTCCAATCTAGCCGTTGAAAATCAAGAGATTGATTTTTCCTTACCAACGGGTAGAATTTCTTCATTCAAGACTTAAATAATTTTCTAAGTCTTATCTCACTTGTCCGCTTTTTGAGAATTTCGGTCTTCCTTGAGGCATCCGGTTCTTAGCTGACAAATCCGGAAGAGTCATACTCAGTCTTCCAGGTGAGAAAGAAATCCGCGCTAGTCTTCCGACTTAGCCTTCAGCGAGACATCCGGTTCTCATGTAGTATTCCGGATAAGAGGATTTTCGTCTGCTTTGAGAGATCCTTACTTGTCTCTAAGATTTCCGATCAAGATATCCAATTTCCAAATTTCTGAATTTGATTAAGTCTTCAGGCATCAAACCGTTTAAAGAAATATCAC